GAACCTTAAGAGCCTTAGAGCAATGAACATCAGAGAGAGACATGTTGAAATTAGGAAACAACGTCATGATGACTGTCCCAGCATTCAAAGTTGTCTGTGCTGTCCCGATACAAGCATGTTGATATTGGACAAATCTGGTGTCCAATAAAGCAATTCGAACTGAGACTGGAAGTCCTTTTCTGCCATGATAAGAGAGAGCGAGCCGGATAGCGCCAAAGTGCACATGAGAGTATCCTTCACGGATCCATTGAGTAATGGATTCTTGAGGGATTTCTAAAGTAACATATTGTTCTTGGGATGATCTTCCCTACTAAATACTCAAATCCTGTTTCAGTAATTGCATTCTTTGATACTGGTGCTACTCGTACTATTATCAACCCTAAGATCCTTCCAGCCTCTCAGTGGAAACCTCATCAGGAAATATTCTACACTGCTAATAGTGAGACTTTCACTACTCATCTGATCAGCAAACCCAATTTATTTATTTTTTCAAAATAATTTGTACTTGGACCTTTTAATCATTTTTGTAGCTTATTAAGACTTAAGTACCAAATAAGAACCCTCCAAGTGGGCCTAATTCAAAGAAGTATCTTGGCTCTAATAAGTTTTATTGGACACCTTATCCTGCCATATCATAATCCACCAAAATGCCCTATTAAACAGCTTAGGTCTATCGATCTCCTGAAAGAATAATATTACACATACAATATTCTTATATAATATTACACATACAATATTCTTATATAATATTTTTCATGTAATATTATATGGCAAAAAATGATTGAGTGAAAATTTAATTTTAATTTAAAATCAGTTAATCATATTTTACTATAATTTTATATGAGAAATATTGTATATATAGTATTACTCCTCTCGAAAAGGATTAAGATAACATAACTTTGTATGAGGCCTATTGTACGTTGTTAGATTGTGAGATGGCCTTGGAATCGCTTTGGGCATTTGCAGGCTGCCTTGACAAATGTGGGTATTAACATGGGTGCAACAAAATCCTTAATTAAATCTAATTAAGTGCGTTTATTTTTAGATTAAATGACGTTTAGAAAGATTTTTTTTTTTTAATATAATAAAGAGGTATTTAAGAATAAAAGATACCGATCAATTTAATGAGGGGCTACAGATCACTTCCCTAACTTATACTGCATTTTATTAGGGACAATAAAATTTTCCCACCCAAGGTTTGGCGAAACAACACTTTCCAACCCGTCAAGTTTCAAAATGACACTTTCCCATCCTTCGTCAAGTTCTGTTATGTTTTTTATTAATATTTGACTGAAAAGACGAAAATACACTTAAATATTTGACTTTATATATTTTTTATTATTTTAAATTAGCCAGAAAGTCAGATATTAAAAAGTCAAAAAAGAAAAAAACAGTTAGCCCTAACTAAAAAGTTAGGAGTAATGTTATAGAATTGTTTAAAGTTAAATGACCTTAATATTTATTTATTTATAATGTCATCAATATCCCATTACTATTATTCAATAATCTACTAAATTTATAATGTTTTTCATAATATAATGTTTTTCATTTTTACTAATTAATATAGAAAATCTTAATAGTTATGAAAGAGCAGCCAAGAAGCTATTAAGAAATAAACCATTTAAGGGTATTTTTATATTTTCAGTCAATTATTAATAGAAAACACTAACAGAACCTGATGAAGGGTGGGAAAGTGTCATTTTGAAACTTGATGGGTGGGAAAGTGTTGTTTCGTCAAATCTTGGGTGGGAAAATGTCGTTCTCCCTATTTTATTATTAATTGTTTCCTTTTCGATTTTGGGTCACTTTTTTCATAGCAAACTAAAGCATTTATGTACCATATGATATTCGTAATAAACAAGTTTTCTCAACTTATGGATAAGGGTTTTGTTTGGTTGGGTGTAATATGAAATTACTGAAGTAATGTTATCTTATATTATTTTATTAACACGTTTTCATTTTCTTAGGTATTTTAAGATTATTTGGTAATCTTATTTTTGTTACAATTTTACCGTTCACTATAAAATTTTTTGGACAATAATGCCGTTATTTTCAAATTAATTTACATGAACCCTACCATTACAATTTTACCCCTAAATAATTAAAGTTCTGACAATAATGCCATTGTTTTTAAAACAATTTACAAGCCACCCAAGATGACTGCTAGCAGCCGGCCACCACCACTGGCCACTGGCGTCAAAATGGCACACGATCGGTCAGATTTTGCTGACTGTGGATCTAGGCTTTTTTGGGTTAGGCACCCGCCGGTATTAATTCCAATCTAGGTTGATTCCGACATCATTGTCGGCCCCAACCACCATCATCTTACTCCTCGTTTTCCTTTTCAAATCCCATCAAACCCCATCACAGGAGCTGCCCCCAATCGCCAGGGAAGCATACTATTTTTTCGGGGCAATTTCCCTTTTTCTTGGCGCTTTTCCGATCACGTTTTCTACCAGAAATCACACCAGTTTCGCCGATCGATTCCCCTTCACCTCCTCTTCAAAACCCCTCAAAGAACATCTCAATTGGACTTCCTAATCAATGGTTGGCAATGGTTTAGGCAACTAGCAATGACTTGGGTGGGTGAGGGTGTTTTTGTTAAAAATTAAACTTTTATGTGGCTGGAGTGTTTTAGCAAAATCTCAAATGTAGGGGGTTAAAAGAAATGATTCAAAAAATAATATTATAGTAATATTTTAAAAGGAGGGCAATTTAATAATCTATATAACATACCCACCAATTTATTCCTCTGAACCAAACATATTAATGTAACATAGAGTAAACGACATATTCCCACTCGAGGTTTAAAGAAATCCTAAGTTAGTACCCCTGGTTCCATTTATTCTAGATTCCCACCCTTAAAAGTGACAAAAAATTGTTGGATATAATGTTTTGAGCAGTGACAACCCCAACCACCACCACCGCTTGACTCCTTGCATCCCCTCTACAAAACCCCTAACCTTCCCAACCACGACAACTCACCGTTTGTCGTCTATCACTTCACCAAAATACACAATGAACATGAACTCTGGATTGGCGAACAACGACTGAACGGTTGTTGGGGACATAGGGGTTTTGTAGGGTTGGAGACGTTGGTTGCAGTGGTGGTATGCAATTTGATTTTCGTCGTCGAAATTGACCAAAATCCGACGAAGAACAGAGAAGCCTTAAGCCTAACGGCTCCGACGATTGAAGGGGCCAATGAGTCGGGAACTAGAGGGGTTTTGGACGACGGGCGATGGGGAAGGTGATGGAGGTGATCAGGGGGCTTGATGCCATCGGAAACAACCCAAATCTGGCAAAAACCGAGAGGGTGCGCAATCACTGAGGGTGTTATTGGTGTAATTTGAAAATAAGATGGTTAATTATAATTTTAGTAATTTAGGGGTTAAAACATAATATATTAATTTATTTGTTAAGGGCATTATGATAATAGCACCCTAACCTAAAAATTGCTAACAATGTTATTTTAAGGGTAAGAATTTGGGATAAATAGAACTAGGGTTACCAACTTTGGATTTCACCAAACCTTGAGTGAGAATATATCGTTTATTTATATAACATATCCACTAATTTATTCTAATTAACTAAACACATTTTTCTAAGCATTTTTAATAATCTTTAAGGGTCTGCTTTGGAGTTTTTTTTTTTTTTTTTTTTNAATGAGAATGAGAAAAAGAATCCGTATAGCCCGTGAGAATACATGCGGATGAGGGCTATACACGAGAGAGAGTACACTCACATGGCCAAGGGTTCTAAATCCATGCATCAACCAAGACCGATCGGCAAAGAATAAGAGAAAGAATAAGAATAAGAAAGAATAAGAATGAGAAAGAATGAGAATGAGAAAGAATGAGAAAACATGAGATAAGAATAAGAAAAGAATAGAAAGAAAAGAAAAGAGAGAAAATGCATTGCTTTGCATTAGTGCACATGCATCTCATCCATGCATGTTATCATGATATTTCTTCATGAGAGATAAGAATAGAAAGAAAGAAAGAAAGAGCCGAGAGAAAGAAAGAAAAGAACAGTGAGAGCTAGAAACAGAAAAAGAACAAGAGAGATTGAATTAGATAAAGTGACAAGAGTACAAAAAGAATTGAAGAGTAATATACGGGGACTATAGAGTAGAAGATTTACTTACGAAGCATCTTTGTGCTCACCCCGTTGTTTTCTATGTTTTACAGGACATAGGTGAGGACGTAGTCGGATGGACATTGGCAAGCGGGGAGACTTGGCTGCACTGTCCACTGTTTTGAGAGTTTTTTTGTACAAATGATGTTGTACTATGTAAATTTTTGGGCCCAACCATTTTGATAAATATACTTGTCTTTTTATTAATATTTTTTTTTGAATATGATAGTAGAAAGAAGTTGTTACAATAGAGTTGGAGACGTTGGTTGCAGTAGTGGTATCCAATTGGATTTTCGTCACCGGAATTGACCGAAATCCGATGAAGAATAGAGAAGCCTTAAGCCTAACGGCTCCGACGATCGGAGGGGCCAATGAGTCAGGAACTAGAGGGGTTTTGGACAACGAGTGATGGGGAAGGTGATGGAGGTGATCGGGGGGCTTAATGCCATCGGAAACAACCTAGATCCAGCAAAAACTGAGAGGGTGCACAATCACTGGGGGTGTTATTGGAGTAATTTGAAAATAAGATGGTTAATTATAATTTTAGTAATTTAGGGGTTAAAACGTAATATATTAATTTATTTATTAAAGGCATTATGATAAATGGCACCCTCTGTAACCTAAAAATTGTTAACAATGTTATTTTAAAGGTGAGAATTTGGGATAAATGGAACTAGGGTTACCAACTTTAGATTTCACCAAACTTTGGGTGGGAATATATCGTTTATTTATATAATATATCCACTAATTTATTTCAACCAATTAAATATATTTTTCTAAACATTTTTAATAATCCTTAAGGCAATCTATTTTTCAGTTGATATAAAGTTCTTATTAGTACGATATTTCTTAAACCCAAAGCACACACCGCAGTTATATTAAACGAGGCCGTTAGTATACATCCCCTTCCTCGCAAATCTAAGTCTACGACAGGAGCTAATAAATATTATCTAGTCCTAAGAGAAGAGAGAGTTGGGTAAAACAATCGGAAACAAAATGGCAGGGAGATTGAGCAATGTAGCGTCTCGCATCATGGGAGGAAACGGCGTCGTTGGACGTTCAGTCGCTTCATCTCTTCGGCTCCGTTCCGGCGTGGGCCTTCCCGTCGGCAAACACATCGTACCCGACAAGCCAGTCAGTTCGCAGTTCATAGGCTCTTTATTTTCTTCATCTATTACCTCTAAAATCATTTCTCTTGTTTTTTATTTGTTTTCAGCTTCCCGTAAATGACGAGCTGGTTTGGGACAACGGGACTCCCTTTCCAGAACCTTGTATCGATCGCATCGCCGATACAGTCGGCCAGGTATAATTACTGTCTTGTGCCTCCTTTTTTTGTGTAATTTTCTGAAAGTTGATTATTGATATTATTTGTATTCCAAATTATGGATGATAGTATGAAGCTTTGGGTTGGCTGCTTGGAGGATTGGGGTTTTTTACATCGTTGGGACTTTTGGCTGTATGGAACGATAAAGCCTCTAAAATTCCTTTTGTAAGTCAAAAGCTCTAATTTTGTGTGATAAAGTGGTCAATTATTAGTTTTTAGTTTGGATTATGAAATTGTTGTGTGGATGATTTAATGTTTCAAAAATACATACTACATTTGAATTGCCTGCCTACATTGATATTACTCACATTCACACTGTTGCAATTGCTTCTATAGTACGCTCTGTTATTAGGGACTTCATATTATAATGGTGTTGGACTTGATTTAGTTGTTAATGTAATAAGCTACAGAAACTTCCATCACAAATAAACTTCAACTGGCGGTTTCAACAGAAATTGGATCTGTTGTTTTCAAAATATTTTTTTGGTTGCTGCTAACGTCAATATTGAATTGAAATGACATTTTGTAAGATGGAAAATAAAGTGAGATAAACTAGAGGATGAGAGGGAACAAAAAGTTAGAAAATAAGATATATTTCGGTATTTAGCCATGACTAGATAACATTGCGGGCAAAGCGAGTGTGAAATGATGGAAGTTGTATCTCTTGTTTGGCTAGGAAAAAAGATTGTAAATAAGATCTATTTCTTTAAATTTTAAATTTTTTATCTTCACTCACTTTTGGATGAAATAATTTGATGGGCCTGAAACTGATAATGCAAAGAAAGCAAATACTTCCAATTTCTTCCCCTCCCATAATTTTCTTACACAATTGGGGAACATACAGTTCGTTTTATTGCTTCTATCATGTTTTTACCTTTCACTTCAATTCTAATTTCTACCAAGTTTAACTGGTATGCCATCAGCATACCTTGCTTCAGTGTAATGCATAATGATGCAGTTGCAATACCTCTTGTAGCATGAAGTTATTACATCAATTTTGGTATTTAGCCATGACTAGATAATATTGCGGGCTCAATATGATGTGAATTTATTATTGAAATTGATGGGCAATAGGGAGGATACGTTCCTCTACTTTGTGATGAAGCTGAGATATTTGATGTTGCTGGAGGCTAGTTGAGTGACTTAAGTACTTGCCTTAATTGAATTTTATCATGTTTGGACCAAATATGATACTAACTTCATAAACCCTTTCTGTAGTTTGAATTGATCTGTTATGTAGTAATGAGATCAAATATTTTATCTTGCTTGAAATAGTGTACTTTAGTTTAGTTGGACCAAAACTACAAAGTTTGGGACCATGTTACTATAGCAAATGGTGCACACCTTTGCTTACCATTCGAATGTCAAGCACATGATTTTATAGGGTAGAGAACTAAAATGCTTCTAATACTCCCGGAAACGAAGGCTTTAAGGAGAATATATGTACCTTATACTAAACTTGGAGCCTCTTATATAACATCTTGATCACCATGTTCTGTTGTTAGAAGTTCAACTGAAGCAGCTTCCTACCTTGAATATTTCTCAAATAATTTCATATAGCCTTTCATAAGCTTTCCACCTATTAGGATTCTTCTGCATGTGCCTTCATTGGTGCCTGAGATAGACCGAGTAATTCACGTGAGATGAGTCTCTTACAAACTATTGCCTTTAACACCTCATTTGACCGCCTACTTCATGATTCTCTTTGAGTATCAAACTATTGTTTGGCATGCTGCTGTTTTATGGTAATCTGACACTAGTCTAATGTATGGAACTTTTTTCTCTGATCATTCAGAAGGTACTATTGATACCTTTACTACTGTTTTATCAACATTGATTGATAGTACCTCAATTTTTTTCTTTCTTTCACTTTTATCTGGAAATCATCTGCTTATCATTGATTGCATGCACTGACTTCAGAAAGAAATGTTTGTTACTGTTTGATTTGATGTTCGTTAAATGAGTGAAAAAATTTCTCGTTGACGTCATTGTACTGTTACACCCAGTCAAGTTGTCTGTTTAATTTCAATTGTTGCATGAGATAATGGAAAGGGCAATGGAGCATTACCTCCATAAATTTTGCCTGATACTGCTTTTGCTATTGGTTACTGAGGACCTTGAGACAATGGAAAATGGTTGGTCATGGGGAAAGCATTCTGAATGTGATATATCTCTGGAGTGTGGAGAGACTGACTTTTCATGTTGCTAGATCAATTTTCCTTTGTGCTGTTGCAAATTTCAGCAATAATTATCCTCTAAATCTATAGATTGAATGTTTAGGATTATTAGGAAATGCCTCGTGGTGTAGTTACTTGTGATCATCTATTGATTAATTGCTCCACTAGATTGAGATGGTGTATGTTAGTTCCTGCCACCAATTATTTGTTTCGGTAATAAGTGGCTATTATTTGCTTCTGTAATAAGTGGCTATGTGTTATTAACTCGATTCTTATGAAATATATTCATGAGATCATTTAATCTTCTATTTTTGATGTGGTTCCAAGTTTCTACTTTAGATTATTTCATCTTCTGATATTGATGTGGTTGCCCTATTTTTTCGACCAGACACCAAAAGTTTATCCCTACGACAACTTGAGGGTGGAGCTTGGTGGAGAACCATAGGAAGATTGGGGTGCAAGTAAAATCATATGGTTATTGTTGTTTCAGATGTATTTCCTCTTTGGATTATCTATTTGCATTTTGGAATTCATAGCAGTTAGAAATAATGGGAAGCATGTGGCATTGCTGGAATTAAATCTTAAAACAAAGAATGATTTTTTTTTTTTTTTGAACCTCTGTGATGATAACGTGTAATCAATCCTGTGCTCTAATTTCATTTTCTTAAAAGTTTGATCATCAGATTCTGTCATCATCTTTTAAGTTTTGTTTTATTGCAGTACAGGGAAATCTGCAATTTGAGCATTTATGTTGGTAAATTCGACATAAAAATGGATCATAAAAATTTTGTGATGGCACAACTAGAAAAGTTCGGACTTGCCGATACTGCTCTCAGAACTATTTGTTGGCAGGTTTGTTCAGATTGAGTAGGGATATTAAAAAAAATGAGCCCGGCACGGGTTTAGCCCTGTCCTGTTATGGGTAACAATTGGGCCCGGGCTTGGAAAAGTATCCTGGCCTATCAAGGTTTTGTAAAATTACAAAACGCCCTAAAAATTGTAGAAAATCCCCTAAAAAGCTTTAAAAAGCCCCCAACATTTGGGAAAATTAATTAAAATACTATTCCCAGTTTGGAATAAATTAAATAGATATGAAGTTTGATACTTTGTACTAAATTACCATTAGTTTAAGCGATATAAGCTTATCGTTTAAGCAATATAAGCTTATTTACAAACTTATCTCTTAAGTGATATGTGTTAAATTGTTTAAGTGATAAAATTTTATAGCTATTTAATTTACTCCAAACTTGAAATGATGTTTTAATAGTCAAATTCTCGGGCTCTCTTCCATAAATGTAAAATTAAATAACCCCCCTATAAAATTGATGTAGCCCCATATGTTAGGTGAAATCTATAAAAACCCTTAATCATATCAAGCAAACCTGGGTAGGCTCTGCCTGGGCTTCGGTGTGTACAACCTGGGATTTTTTCCAAACCTGGGGGGAATGATGTTTGACCCCCATTTTATTTTTAGCTTGTATCTACTATGACTATAATAATACTAGCCTCAAAAACATTTCTCACTAACTCATATGACAACTAGTAATTGGCTTGGTCAAACGAGACCTATTATTGGGCAGATGACCCATGCGAGTTGACACATCATGTTTGTGAGAGAAAATTAGCGAGAAATGTTTGTCAGGGTAGTATTACTCCTATAACTATCTACTATCTTAGATTGAGGTTTCGAAGAAATTAAAAACTTTAATAAGAAATAGCCTTTATACATGTTCAAAATTTTAGGAAGGATATCTTGTTTGATTCAAGTTCTAGAAATTTTTTGGCTATGTGATCAATTTTCTATTTAAATAGTATAATTTGTAATAATTTTCCAAAAATATAAACAGAAAAAAAAAATTACTTTTTTGTTATGTTGTTACCAAAAGTTTATGAGAAATTAATCCCAAATGGTTGACGTGGCGGTCAAAGAGGTTTGTTCCCTTTCTTGAGCTGTTGGATTCAAATATTGGGGTTACCTACTGTAGACATAAAAATCTACCTGTACAGAATGAGAGATTGATCCCGTGACGTTGAGGCCACTAGCGATCTACTGTACCTGCACACGTAAAGAAACACACGTGAAGTGACGGAAAACACCGAGGTGGTGTTTGCAGTAGGCACTCCGACGCTCAAGTCAGCAAGGCTGAAAGAGGCTGATTTAGTGAGGGCTAGGGAGTAGAGAGGTTACTAGAAGTCTAGTTGGGGACTGTGACTACGGCTGTGATGTGAAGTTCTCAAGCTAGAACTCCGGGGTCTGAAAGTGAAGTGTAATCTGCCTTGTGAGAGGGCTGATCTCTGTTTAAATAGTGACTGTCTGATCTTCCAATCCTGGTGGGATTGGGAGTCCTCGTAGAAATCCGTTTCCTCTAGGGATATATCCTTTGATCCCCTTATCCTGGTGTGAAATGGAGTCCAAGTATGACTCTGACACGAATCTTGGAGGAGTTGGGGTGGTAGTGGACTACTTTACTAGTGTTCGAATAGGAATGTGATCCGTAGGTGGCCGTGGGCTCTGAATTCGTTCATAGATCTCGGAAATGTAATTGAGCTTAAGAGGCTTGGGTCTAGATGGTTTGGGCCGACTGTGCTTCATACCACATGGGCCTCACCTGGGGAATTCTGGCTCGGCCTGCATTGAGATTGGGCCTAAGTTTTCCTCTTTGTCAGAAGTGTCATCCTATTTGGTCCGAGGATAATTTTTGGCCCTAACAGTTTGCCCCCCACTCTCTTAGTTAAGGAGTGCTTAACTTAGAGAGTAGGTGTTGCCTGAGTATTCGGTCGGCCTTTGTGGACAGCTGATTAGCCGTGCGGTTGTGCCCGCAGTTGGGTCCGTTGTTCGGTACGATTGTTCGGTTGATGGGGGTGACTCGTAGTCGTGCTTGGTGCCCTTATTTGAGTTGGGGCATTTGATCAATCCAGTGGGGTTTCATCGATCGGTGTTCGGGGTCGAATGGGCGAATAGTCCAGCGTACACATATTGGCTCGGGGTGTCTGACCGGGTATAGAGATAAAGATTGATCTGCTGGAGGTCCATTCGCTCGGTCCGCCTAGACGAATGGGTGATTGAATGAGTTTACTCTGAAGGTGTGTTCAGCCGGTGTTGCTAGCCGAGTGGGTTACACTAGTCCCTAGGTTACGGCACTTTTGGGATTGGTCGAGTCCAAGCCAACCGTTTAGTGTAGTCGCTCATTTGGTTGAGGTGACCGAGTGGCAAAACTTATGCTTGGCTGAGGTGTTTGGCGTGACCGTGGACAACTACGGCTGGGTGGCTAAGTGCCATGATGTCGGTCTTGCTCGGTAGGGTAAATCGAACGAATGGGCACCTCGGGGATTGAGTGCAGCGGGCTTGAGCATCATTTGACATGTGTACGATCGGGATGTCCTCTAACCATGGCGGGAAAATTGAAAACTCACGACTTTCGATATCCATTCGTGTGGTGACACGTGTCGCCTGACAGCTTTTGCTGATAAAATGTCTGGCTCACGACTGTTCATTTCATTTGCCATTTTCCTTTTCTTTTTCTCTCGTTTTACAACGTTTCGCAGGGAAGAGTTTTTTGCGTTTTCAGGATTTTTTCGGTCACTTTTTCACGGTAAATGTCTCTTCTGATCTTCTTTTTCCGGTTTTTCGAATCGTTATTGTTTTGGCTTGTTTCTAGTGTAGTTTGGTGTTGATTTTGGGAGTCTTTTGGTGCAGGGAGAGGAATCGAAAGGGACAAACAAGAAGGTTTTTTTCTTTGTTTTGAAATGGTTCGATTGGGTGTTGGCCAGATTTTGAGTTTCCAGTGGGGCGAGGTTGTGGTTTGATTAGGTTTTTGTAGAAGATTGGGGAGTGATTTGGGAAAGTATTAACTGATTTCTGCAATTTTGGAGTTTTTGGGGTTTTGGAAAGCAAAGGACAACAAAAACAAGTTTGGGGGGGTCCCGGCTTGGTTCACCCGACTGGGTCGAGTGGGTAAGTCAGACTTAGATTTCAAATAGTTGAAAAAGTTAGTAAAGTCAGGTCACCCGGTCGTACCGATCAGGTAGTTGGGCAACTGTAAGGACAGCAAGACTCAGTAGGTGCTCGGTTGACCAAGACGAGCGAGTCTGTATGCGACTATCAAATTGTCCTGGAGCAGTAAGTTGTTTAGAGCGAGTGGAACTGTGGAAACGGTGGGGCTCTGGATTGGAGTCGGTCGGTTGGGGCAAGCGTGTGCCGATTTGAGTTGAATTTGGGACCAAGTCGGTCGGTTGCGAGGATCGATCAGGATTCTAACTTGGGTTGTGGAAGTTGAGGAGAAGTGCGTCAACGGGGATAGGTCGGTTGGTGCCAAAGGACGTGTGGTAGATTAAAGAGGGCTCTCACGGTATTGCTCGGTCGATGGTACAAGGCATGTGATAGTCCGATACTTAGGATTATAGAGTTTGGATTGTGGGATTGACTCGGTCAGTCAGGTAGGACGAATAGGTTGACGTGTCAGATTCAGAATTGAGTAGTTCGAGCGGGGCTGGGGCGGATGTTGGGAATGAGTATGATCGTGCACCGACCATGGTGATGATGCCCGAGGGCTCCGTTCCTACGGGTGTACCGACCGATGAGAGTGTAGCTGCCCCAAGGATGAGTGCTGCCGACCCGAGTGGTTCAGGTAGGAATAGGGGAAGTGGGGAAGACTCCGAAGGAGCTGGTAGTTCATCTTCGTCCGACAGCGGCTCTGAGGAAGAGTCGAGCCAACAGGGCAGTGGGATTTTGAGTAGGGATTATCCGCCCGTGCTTAAGGATAGCGACGTGTGGCAAATCCGGACTATGTATCACATTCCAGATTCGGTCGACATCCGGGTGCTACGGTCGTACAAGCGGGTTGATTGGGAGGCTAAAGGCTGGGTAAGTGTTTATGAGAAGTGGTTTCATGACGGGCTGAGGTTGCCTATTCCTCGCCTAGTATGGGAGGTGTTGAACGATTTCATGATTGCCCCATCACAGATTATGCCGAATGGTTAGAGGTTACTTATGGCGCTGGAAGACCTCTGTGTGCGAAGCCAAGTGATGTTTGGGCTGCACGAGCTGCTGTACTCATATTTCTTGAAGGAAAATGACAAGGAGAAAGGTCGATATTTGATCAACCTCAAGCATGATCGGTCTCACCTGGTGACCGACCTCCGGTCCAGTGACAAGAACTGGAAGGATCGGTACTTCTTTGTGAGGGGCGAGGTTGTCTTTGGGGAGAGGCCAGGGCGATATTCCGAGCACTTGGTGAGCCACTGGTGAGAACCTTATCTTTCTTTTGTACTTTGCTTACTAAATCTTATTGTGTTTTTTCTTTGTAGAGCTCGAGTACAATCGGGCCATGCAGAGCAGACATGGCTTGGATATGCAAACCCAGAAGGTGCTAGCCATTCCTACGGCGTAGAGGGATTGGCGAGTAGTATTGTCAGAGGCCAACCTAAGGAGCAGCCATCTCTAGGCCAGAGTAGAGGCAATCCAGCGAGGTATCCCGTTCCCTTCATTGAAGCAAACTTGGGATGTGCTTTTGACTCGTTACTACAATCATACTATTTATGGTGAGTCCAGGTTGAATCCACTAACCGTTGGAGAGTTTGCGTTTGCAGAGAGACTGAGGAAGAAG